GGAACTACTAATGTTTGCATCTTTAGATCTTTACTTTTATATGCTCTATTATAATCACTTTACTTGATAAATCTATTTTTCCTTTATTGTTGCCACTAATAGGATTATAACCAAGTACCTTTCTGCCCTACCTACCTATGATATTTATACATCTTCTGTTATTTCTTGAAATGACTTTATATTTTACCAATATTGTGTGTGTGTGTGTGTGTGTGTGTGTGTGTGTATATATATATATATATATGCATATACGTATATTATATTTTTTATTTTCAGAGTCTTTATAGGGAAATCTCAGTATTGTTTGTGTATGCTCTCAACAGGAAAGTAGTAGACACCAAATAATGAACTTTGGGCCACTCTTGAATTTAGAACCCTTTTTGAAAAACTTAATAGCTCTCCACTTTTTCATTTTCAAATGTTAGCTTTACTCTTTCTTCCATGAATGCCTTCATGACTAATCCCTTAATGAGTAGGCATTTGTTTGCTATTTTAGGAACCAGCGGCATTGGAAGATGTGCCAGTGGACTACCTTGTAAGAGTGAAAACAACTAGACCATTATCAGAGACATTGCACAGGAATGTGATCTTGAAAAACTGTTATAGCCTTGTATCATTGGGTGAGTACTGTTTTATAATTACTACAGACTACAGTGACTGTTTCCTCAAATGTCAAAATATATGGAATTATGGGATTTACAGGTGCTCATCTGAGACTGGGCTTTGAATTTAGGGACCAGAGATTTTTTATTTTATTTGTACACAGAGACAAGGTATTTCTTTTGTAACTAAACAGGTGATAGCTCTTCTTTAAAACATTGTAAAGGCTGGCACAGTGGCTCATGCCTGTAATTCTAACACTTTGGGAGGCTAAGGTGGGAGGATCATTTGAGGCCAGAGTTCAAAACTAGCCTGAGCAACATAGTGAGACTCCCATCTCTACAAAAATTTTTTTTAAAAAAATTAGCCAGGCATGGTGGCATGTACCTAGTTCCAGCTATTTTGGGGGCTGAGGCAGGAGGATTACTTGAGCCCAAGGAGTTCAAGGCTGCAGTGAGCTATGATTGTGCCACTGCACTCCAGTCTGGGCAACAGAATGAGACCCTGTCTCTAAAAAAACAAAAAAAATTGTAAATAGATAACCTTATTATGTTTTCCTAGAATCATCAACATTCCTATATCTCAGAATTCCTGAAGACAACTTAGGACACAATTCTAGGATTCATCATAAATGCCTGAGCCCATATTCTTTGCCTAGAGTAGGATATCAACTTTTTAAATCAAATATTATCTTCCAACTACGAAGAACCATATTAATAGACAACAAAGGAAAAATGGAGAAATATCAGAAAATATTCAGCCAGGAAAGAATCAGATAACTAAGTAACAGCCATGAAGACAGGAATTCATCTGTAAATGAAGTGCATATGTATATGTAAATAAGAATACATATGTAAATAAAATCCATATGCATATGTAAATAACAGTCCATCTATCCATTATTGTGGTGGTAGTAACAGTAGCTACCTCCTGTAGCTTTGGAAATGTTGGTTAGGGTCCTCTGTGCAAAGCGCATTATTTGTATAAAAAAACCATCTTCATCTAGTGGGAGCAACATCAAATTTATTTCTACAGAAACAATGGGATTCAGACAGCTTCTGGGTTGGAGGTGAGCATTGGAAAGTCTGTAACACAATGTTTTTGGACACTTTGCCATGCTACGTTTTTACTGGAGGCTGGGGAGTCCAAGAACATGGTGCCTGATTTTGTACATGGAATACACACCACTCTTCAAGAATAGTAAGTTAACTTCACTACAACTCTCTATAAATGTAATTTGGGTGATTGGAATAAAAGGAAATTTCTAGCAAAAAAAAAAAAATTTATTTCTACATACCTTTCTCCATCTTCTCACATACCTCTTTCATCTCAGAGGAAGAGTTGCCCCTCTTCCACTGTTAAATAATCTCTCCATTCTGTACTCAGATTCCATTCTTTTTGACTTGTTTTAGGACCTTGATTTAATGATTATTTTATAATTCACTCTCTCCCCACTTCATTAGCTCCTTTCCTTCTGTCAATACTTTCAGACATTCAAAAGTTTGTCTTGCTTTTAAAAGAATATGTTGCCTAACAATCATTTAATTTTTATCTACTTTCAATTTTATTGTCCCCTTTCATTACTGAACTATTCAGACTTATAAATTACAGCCTCAATTCCTATTCTGTTTTCATTTTTGGAGTTATATTCTTGTCTTCTATTCTTCTACTAAAATTGCTTTGAAGAGACTCCTGAATTCTTTCTTGATAGCAAACTGTTCTTAGTCCTTTCTGGGTTTAGAATTTCTGCTACATTTGATATTTTGTCTTTGCTTGTGTGACATCACCAGATTCTTTCCTGTTCTGATCTCTTTTTAAGTGCTTTTTCATTAGCTTGATTTCCTCCCTAACATAAATATATGTGCCTTTAAAGTTTATTTTCTGCTTGTTTATTTTTTATCTGAAAGAATACGTGCATTCTGATATCTTGAGGTTGTTCTTTCATGTCCTTGACTCTCTGTTATAATTTTTTTCAGCCCAAATATCTCATTTGCATTCTATCCCCAGATTCCCCTGCTTGGAGTCTATCTCCACTTGAATGTCCCATTTCGCTTAAATTAACTTTAAACTCAATGTGGTGAAAAGTAAAATCACCAAATTTCCCTAGGCTACTTGTCTTTCCTTCTTCAATATTTTTATCATTAGTACCACTATTCTTCTAGCTTCCTTAGCTACAAACCATTGTATCTTTATGAATGTTATTTTCTAAAAATTCCCTGTCATCTATGTCAATATTTTTGTTTCTTATTTTTTAAGTCTTAGATTTACACCTATACTGAATTCTTACTAGTATATCCTGATCCAGACCCATATCATTTGTATTATACTTTCTTGCTGAATTTGACCGTTATTCTCTTTTTATTCTTTTTAGATGGAATTAACAAGTATTTTCATCTAAAACATCCCATCTAAAACATACTTATCATGTTACTACTCTAACAGAAAACTTGTTTTCCTATCTCCTGCTATATGACATTGACTCTCTCTGTTTAATTATTAGGGATTTTTATTATCTGATTGCATTTCACTTTTCTTTTCTTATTTTTTACCTCTGCTTTCCAAAGACATATATTTCAATTGGCCTCATTGTCTTTTAGTCACATCATTTATTTTACTGTATCTTTATCTTTGACTTTATTATGCGCTTTGTCTCAATGCTGCCATTTCTTTTACGTCATCTATTGTGATATAATAATAAATATATTTGGTCTTTGTTTCCAGTTCCTGGCATAGAGCTTTTAAAACCCTTTTAATTTCTTAAGTGATAGGAATGTCTTTTGTTATTCATAATGCACCTGTTTTGATCACACTTGAGTTTGTGTTAATGAGGTAAAATATGGCAGGCCCCCTAGAAGGACTCAGGAATGGTGGGTACAAGGGAACTGGAGATTAAGCTTTATAAAAACTTCTGAGCAGTTAAATTTGATGAGCTTCCAGGTTGGTGAACACATAGAAGTGCTGAAAGGATAGCATGCCCAGAGAGGGCATGGAAACTGTGTGCTTCTCCCCTGTGCCCACCTTGCCCTGTACACATCTTCGATCTGTTTCTGAATTGTATTTTTTATAATAAACTGGTAAATGTAAGTAAAGTGTTTTCCTGAATTCTGAGCTATTCTAGTAAGTAATCAAACCCAATGAGAGATTTGATTTTTAGCCAGTTGGGAGGACAGGGCTTGTGATTATCATCGGAAGTGTGGGTAGTCTTGTGGGACTGAGCCTTTTAACTTGAGGGATATGATGCTAACTCCAGGTAGACTGCATCAGAATTGGATTAAATTGTAGGAAATCCAGCTAGTGTTCAGAGATTTGGAGAATTCGTTAGTATGGAAAAAAAACCCCACACATTTGGACACAGAAGTGTTCTGTGTTAAGTATGAGTATAGAAAAGAAAATAGTTTGTTTTTCCTATACAATTTGTCAGAAATGTTGTGAGTAGAGAAAGTGTATTTCCAGATTTAGATTAATCAGATGTACTGATTATTTTCTTCTTTAAACTTCCCTGCTAATCAGGACCTATAATATACAATCTTGTGTTTTATCGTAACACTTTTATTTTTTTTTTCTGTAACTGAGAATGAGTCTTCCTTTCCCCTTTTATATTTCAGAGAAAAGAGATAAAATCTTCTGCTTAATCCTGGATACTATATCCAAAGTCAGAGTATCAGCTTCAAAGCAGAGAATTTCTGAAAAACAAATGTCTTCATATGATGCTAGCAATTTTTTCAAATGATGGCTCCTAATATCTCACATTAGAAAAACTGGAATTTGATGACCAGTTTGAGAAACAGCAGTATAAACAGATTATAAGGAAAAGCAATTCAAAAGGAAGATCATGAATATAATAATTTGGGAGAAATATTTAATCTGAACTTAAACCTATTTAAAGAACTGAGTTTTTAATAAGAAAAAAAGTTTATACAGTAGTCCCCCCAGTCTGTGAGGGCTATATTCCAAGACCCCCACTGGATACCTAAAAACCATGATAGTACCAAACCCTAAATGGGTTCTTAATACCAGCTACTAAGTGACAAATGGGCAAGTAGCTTTTATAGCATAGGTACACCAGACAAACAGATGATTCACATCCTGGGCAGGATGGAGCAGGACAGCATGAGATTTCATCACACTACTCAGAATGGCACACAATTTAAAACTTATGAATTGTTATTTCTGAAATTTTCCATATATTTTCAGATCACAGTTGACCGCAAGTAACTGAAACTGCAAAAAGTAAAATCATGGATAAGGGCAGACTACTAAACTATGATATAAATCATAAGAACTTAAAGCATAATTCTGCTTCAGTTGACCTCTTTTAAAGGCTACTCATGCATTAAAAATAAACTGTTAGATATAAGAAAGGATGCATTTGTACCTTAAACCTTATTTATTCTGGAAACAATTTAAATGTAAAGTCAAGTTCAGTACTGATGGAATCTGAGAAATTTTTTATGAAAGAGAAAGCTTACCAGTGTATTGAATGTGGGAAAGGCTACACTTGTATTGCATCCCTTACCCAGCATCAGAAAACACATATTGGAGGAAAACCTTATAAATGTAAAATATGTGGTAAATCCTTCAGCCGGAACACTAATCTTATTCAACATCAAAGAATACATACTGGAGAGAAACCTTATGAATGTAATGAATGTGGAAAAGCTTTTAGTCAAAGTACTAACCTTATCCAACATCGAAGAGTCCATACTGGGGAGAAACCTTATGAATGTAATGAATGTGAAAAAGCTTTTAGTCATAGGTCATCCCTTAGAAATCATGAGAGAATTCATACTGGAGAAAAACCCTATCCTTGTAATGAATGTGGGACAGCCTTCAGCCATATTTCAGCCCTTACTCAACATCATAGAATTCATACTGGAAAGAAACCATATGAGTGTACTGAATGTGGGAAAACTTTCAGCCGCAGCACACACCTTATTGAACATCAGGGAATTCATTCTGGGGAGAAATCTTACCAGTGTACGGAATGTCGGAAAGTTTTTTGCCATAGCACATCACTAATACGACATCAGAGAACTCACACAGGAGAGAAACCCTATGAATGTAATGAATGCGGGAAAGCCTTCAGTCATACCCCAGCCTTCATTCAACATCAGAGAATTCATACTGGAGAGAAACCCTATGAGTGTAATGAATGTGGAAAGGCCTTCAACCGGAGTGCACATCTTACTGAACACCAGAGAAACCATACTGGAGAGAAACCCTATGTTTGTAAAGAGTGTGGAAAAACCTTCAGTCGAAGTACACATCTTACTGAACATCTAAAAATTCATTCTGGTGAGAAACCCTATCAGTGTAATGAATGTCATAAACTATTTTGCTATAGAACGTCATTAATTCGGCATCAGAGGACCCATACAGGAGAGAAACCCTACCAGTGTAATGAATGTGGGAAATCCTTCAGCTTAAGCTCAGCTCTTACTAAACATAAACGAACACATACAGGGGAGAAATCCTATGAATGTAATAAATGTGGTGATGTTTT